TATCGAATGAAAAACATAGAGATGTGCAAACTGTTGGGAAAAAATGTATTTGGCCCTAGTGAATATTATATAGATAGACGCCTCAGATCGCGCTTTCCAATGCTGAAATTCCGAGCTCGACAGCCTGAGCTAATCAAAAGTTATTCAAAAAATGCCCACGTCCACTTTACTCTGAAATGGACAATAGTTATTCAATATAAAAATAAGACGCATCGCTTTGTCTGATTGAAAAGCGTTTTAATCGATCGGATATTTTTTTCTATTGTAGTCGAGTTTTTAGTACTGACGAGGGAAGGCCCCAAGTGATTCATCGCTTTTGGTCCCATATTTTGTCAATAAGTAGAAAATCTGTAGACTAGAAAAAGACGCCGAGGATATAGGCTCATGTTGTGATTTAGCTGAGATATTTAAGTTTCACTCAAATTTTTCTGCAAGACCCTGATTTTCCAGCAAGATCGTATTTTCAAATTCTGATCTGAAACTTTGCCCACATAAAGCTCTCAATTAGACTAGCTTGTGAAAAAAAGTCAGAATTCTGGGACATAGTACCACCGAGATATGAATTTTCCAAAAATATAGGCGCTTTCCATAGATATTTATAAAACATGAATATTTTGAAAAATTCATATCTCGGTAGTACTATGTCCCAATATTCTGAAATTTTTTTTTATAAGGTAGTCTAACTGAGAACTTTGCATGGGCAAAATTTCAGATCAAAATTCAAAGATACAATCTTGCTGGAAAATCAGGATCCTGCAGGAAAGTTTGAGTAAAACTTGAGTTTCTCAGCCAAATCGCAACATGGACCCATATCCTCTTAGGCCTTTACTAGTCTACAGATTGCCTACTTATCGACAAAATGTGGGGTCAAAAGCGATGAATCACTTGAGGATCTTTTCTCGTGAGTCCTAGTGTATCAATGACAATACTTTCACAGTAGTGTCAAACTTGAAAGTTGAACTCATTTATTGAATTACAGTTCAAATAGTCAATGATTGCATTCTTCAATTCAAATATTCAGCTATTCAATCAACAAACGCCCTACGGTAGTTCTTCCGTGGCACCCTCAGCGACAGAGACGACCCTGTATGAGTCTTCGAATACTTGAAGTGATAATTAAATACTTGAAATTCAACTATTAAAGTTTCAAGTATTTAATAATTGAACTCAACTTTCAAGTTTGACATATATACTTCCAGTAGAGAAAGATACCAAAAGTGACAAATTTTCTGTTTAGTTTTTCGATATTTTTTCCAAAGTTTTGAATGGATAATTTGAACAAGAGATGTAAACTGTTCTGAAATATTTGAAAAAAATACTGTATATTATGGTAATATAATAGATTGATAAGTGACGAAGGAAGTAAGAAGAATCGATTATCGAATAGGATATATAGGATGCGTCATAAAGAATGACATCGTCGGTATTTTGAGAATATCTTCGTCAAATTTCACCCGTTTCATATGATCTATGTTTTTTAAAGATTCATCGTTAAACGCTGAGCAAAATATTTATGTAAACGTTAAGATTTTTTCATGAAACTTTCTTCCAATAATGAAAAGTAAAGACACTCGACAAATTGTTCCTTCCAAATAGAAAAACAGTGATAATCTGCCTGAGATCTTTCGTGATTTGAACGGCGGTGCTCTCAGTTATAATATCATTAAACTCGTACAAAATGAACTTCGCGACCGGGTCGACTGAATTATCAACTTCTTTAGACTGTCCACGCACAGTTTGCTCAATAGTCGGCATTCAAAAAGTTAAAAATCGATTGAAATAGAAGAAGCGGCATAAATTCTCACAGACGATCATGGTCTGGCTTGGCCTCTGTTCCATGAGAATGGCGCCACTAGTGATCTTAAATAATGGGTCGGTCGATCACATTCGCTACATCGACAAGGTCCTTTCGATGGTTCTCATATACGACAATAGCCAGTGTGGCACCGATTGGACTTTTCAATAGGATGGCGCAAAATTTCATATCCATCATCGTACTCAACAGTGATGCTAGGATAAATTTCCCGCTTTTAATAAGAAGGGTCGTTGGCCTTCGAAGAGCATCGATCTTAATCCACTTGATCACTGCATTTGGGACAAACTTGCCAATGCTATCAAGTGGGATCTTGTGACATCCCAGAAAACATTATCGAAGAAACAAATCGAGGTGTTAAGCGGATCGTACAAGAAGTGATGCTGAGAAATTGCTCTACTTGTACTAATCGCTTGTATCAGATCTCAAAGAATGGTAGTGACTTTTTAAGACAATAAGAAAGTGTAGTTTTGTGCAGCAGTTAAAGGCGGAATCTTTTTAAAGAAGATCAAAGAAAATGGATGAGATTTGACAGAAATATCGTCAAAATACTGACAATATCATTGTTAATGCTATATCCAATAAAATGATGAAAAAGACTTGTTTGTTATATATATGAATTATTGAATGATCTAATTTATCCACGCAGGAATAAATCCTAACAACATGTAACAATGTGACATTTTTTCTGTTAACGAAAACGTTGAGTTAATTGTCTCAAAGGAAAGTAAGAACTTTTTAATGATCAGAAGAGACCACTATACAATCAAGAAAATGCATGAATTAATAAGAATCAAGATGATAATCGTATTTAATATGAGAATTATTAATAACTATGAGTCAATCTTATGTAATTAAAAAGTGTGATTGTTTTGGTTATAATGAAAATGAGGATTAATTAATATCTGAAATATGTTATAATTTAATATAAAATTGTGAAAGTTGATTCTAAACATATAATGCACTTATTTGATATGATCATCGATGTTTTATGTATGCCACATAAGCAAACTGAATATCAGTTTTCATAAATAATCAAATATAAGACTTATTACACATAAGTGAAAAGGTTATATTTCTAAATCGATTTTATTGATTGAACTGATTTTTCGAATAAAATATTCAATAGATTTCAAAAGACTTGTCAGAATTTAATAACTGACGTAAACGAATGTAATTATCATTTTCATGTTCCTATAATAATAATTATAAATAAAATAAACTACTTCTAAAATAAATGATTGGAATTCTGATGATAATATTTATTATAAATATTATTCAAAATAAATTTATTATTAATTAATTAAAATAAAAAATATTTATTTTAAATTCTTTTTCTCAGATAGATTTAATTTAGTATTTTTGTTTACGCAATCAGAATTTATTTATCTTATTCTCAAAGGACTTTATACAAATTGATCAAGTTGAATGATTTACGTTTAATAAATATTTTATTCTTCTTTAAAATACACAATCAAATTGGTGAGAAAATACAGACAAATGATTGTTTTCAAACTGAATTTATTCAAGAATTATTAAATTGTAAAAAAAAAACGAATTCAATTATGTTCTGATCCTATAAATGTCAATTGAAATTATTTTATGAATTAAACAACATATGAATAGTTCCAAATAATATCAAATATGCAACAAAGCAAGATAATTGTTTCTTTAGGAATAAAAAAATAGTTTAATTTTCTCAAAATGATTTCAGAACAAAAAATGATAAGTTATTTAATTTTGTTAAATATTCTTTGAGATGAAATATAAATACAACATTGCTTACCGTATTATTTATCAATAAATAATAAGCAACTATTTCCATATCTTCATCGGTCAAACCTTTCCGCTGCAAATCTACGCTTGAGTTGTTTCTTTGCTTATTGACGATTTGTTCAAGCTCTGTGTTATTGCATTTAGGTGGTGATGCTAATGCATTCATCGTCTTTAGTACTGAATAAATAAATATAAAAATAAGAATGAATAATAAATAGAATTTTACAATGTTGTATTTTTAAATAAGATCTTTTTTTTGTTAAAATATCTCATTTTAATTTGGAAAACAAAACTCAATTATATGATCATAAAAAACCTTCATAAATAAATAAACAGATTGATTATCCCTTCTACATTAAAACTTATTTTTGATTAACTATTCTTATTTATTGTTAAAAAAATATTTTTTTTTGTTTTGGAAATATTAACCAATTGAATATTTAAATAGACTCATAAAATATTTAATCTTATTCAATAGAATTTATTTAATTGATTAGAGAAAAAATATTTATTCAATAAAAGAAAATTGTCTATATCAATCAGATTTGTTAGTTCTTTTATCAATAATATTTGTTTGATGTCATTAGTCAGATAGAAATATCTTATTTATTTTTATATAAAAATAGTGTCTCCTTTAAAAGCAAATCATCCACTACTCCCGTGCCTCGATAAACATCACTGTTATACAAAAAACGAAATTTGACACAAGTAAAGATATTATTCTTTTAATTCAAATAGATTCTAATAAAGCGAATGTTTAACAAAAGAATCGAATAAGTTGAAACTCTTTTTCACCTTTTCTTGAGTTTGATACTCAGTGGTAAGAATATTTCTTTCAATAAAAATGTTTTTCAACTAAGAAAAATTAAGATATTCCAATGATCAAGTATTTTCTTCACAATATTTTCAGATATTAATATCAATACAAATCATATAACTGAAAAGATTTTTCCTTTAAAATAGTCGTCTTCCATTTAAAAAAATGCATTGTTATAGGCTTGAATAAAAGTTATTCTGCATTTTTTGATGATGACCATAATTTAGTCATGTTCATAGCCTATATTTCCTATTAGACAGCTGATTTTACTTTATTTAAGACTTCCTATTGCTTAATACTGTCCGTTTTAAAGTTCTCCTATGCTATCACCTAGGTCGATCGAAAACATCTTAAGAAACAAACAAAAAAAATGCAAGAAAATTTACCATACGATGATGCAGACTGACTACTTGGCAGATTGGTTTTGGAAATTGTAAGTTCATTTAAAGGAGGTGCAGTACTGGATGATGATGATGAATTAAAAGGTGATGCTACGAGTTGATAAAGTGGTGTTTCTTCTTGTAAATGAATGATGTATAAATCGTCTGCGGGACTCCATTTGTCAATGACACGTAAATAAGTACCGGGCATAAGTATAATTTCATTTTCATCTTTGTAAAATGAATGTGATTTAATGGCTTTTCCATTAATACATTCAATCATAAATAAAGTACGAACACCTGAGCGACCAACAAATTTTTCCATGACTTTCATTGTTTCTGTACATGAACTTATACCCCACCATATAAAATCTTTCTCGTACTGATCATTTACATTGCCACGAATACCACGCCAAATTGTTTTTTTCAATGACGGCAATTTGTGTAATGACGTGAGAAAGAGTTTCAAATAAGAAAACCATGGTTTGAGTTCATTTCGCTTTTCAGAACGCAACTTTTGATTTAACAAAAAGTAAATACTCTGATGAGTCTCGGGCCATTCCATTGTATATAAATGAATGGAAGCCGATTCATCAGGCGTAAGATTGTCCGATGGATTACGCGAATTTCTTTTTGCTGACCATACCATTGTTTTCAGATTATAGATAGGTGGTTCTATTTGGGTAACAGCTTCTTCTAATGATACTAAAGATTTTTTTTCATATCCTTCGATAGGTGTTAATGTTTTAGTAGGCTCTTGGCCAGCATCGAGAAAACGGTTAACAACATTACTTTCCGCCATATATACGAATATATGCAAATTTTGAAAATGTAAAATGTGTTCGTCACAATCGTAATCTATTATGTGTTTGTTACTGCTTATGCTTCTATGGTGACACTTTTATATATTTGCACAAGGTGAGAAATAACAAAACGAAAGGATTTGATTGCAATGTGATGTTTTTAGTGACGAATCGACGAAAAGTTTTGTAGTTTAATATCTAATAGAAATTGTTGAATATTTTCTGTTCACTCTCTGATTATCATATTTATTCACTAGTGATACAACCAAACATCAGAATACAAATAGTAAGAAATTCTTTTTTTTGACTTTGCTTCTTTGAAACTTCAGTTTTTTCCTTTTGTGTGCGCATTGACGAACATTTTTTTTGTTAGTAGTTTAAGTAAATAACAAAATGTGTTTTAAAATATGGAACAGGAGAGAAAAAAGAAAAACATTTTTGCTTCTTCACTTTCTTTGTCTCTTCATTTCATCCCATTATTCCTGTTTCGTCAACATTATATCGACTTTAAAAATAGAAGACCAAGTGAACTCATACACCTATGCAAAAAAAGACTATTTTGAAGTGAAAGAAAAAAACAGAATAGTAATAGCGTGTTAAAAATCAATATTTACACTTCTTAGATAAAATGGTGCTCGAACAAACAAATGGAATTGTCGATTGAAAAATCTATTTGTTGTTGTGTACAACGTCATAGTTCTAAAAATTACATAGAGACATAATTCAATGATTTCAATAATATTTGTTAAATTAAGTTAGTTAATTGATCAATATTTACAATCACACTTTTCAAAGTGAATATTTAAACAAGAAGCTTACTATCTTATCTCGATTACTAAAACAAAAATGATTTTTGCGTTCCGCACTAATGCGTTATGACTGTAAGTGATGGAAAAGTTGCTCGATATTCAAAAACGAAAAAACGAGTTTTAGAGTTTATCTGTCATTTTCCGTGGTCGTTGGTTGGTTTTTGTAGAATATATCACGTGCACAACATTTTGCATTATATAGGATGTGGATGTAGGTGTTATGGAAACAATCTGATAATGATGATGATTCACTATTAATCGGTTATTATATTGAAAAATGTGAAGAACGGCCAGCTGCATCATCGAATGAAATTTGTCCAATGAATATTGAAAAAAGAAAAACAATTGTTAATAAATTAATTCATAGTACTAAATATCATTTTTGTGTTTGTATAGGAAATAAATATTGTTGATCAGAACCATGTGAAACTATTGAACCATTACTTATTCCGAGTCCATTTGGTAACAAACTATTTTAGAAAAACTTAATTTTTTTTTAGATTTATCAATTATGAACAAAAAGATAAACCATATCGTCAAATGATAGTCATCTAGGCAGATAAGAATTTTCGAAAACGCGATTAAACATCCTATTAATTGCAGTTTCCTTTTCAGCATTTTCACATCTCTTCAGAAAACACCGATACCAGCTACTTTCATTTTAAACTGTAGATAAAGATGATTAAAAAGGCAACTTTTGTATCTGGAAAACGTTCAAAAGATTTTCTCACAATATGTTTGACATGCATCACCATCAAAAAAAGTTTCTTTATTGTTTAATTTTCTACGTTGATTAAGAAAGAAATTTTAAAATTGAATTTCTAGATCGTTCATCTACATCAGAAGTTACATTTGTGGATGAAATATTTTCAAAAACATGTTGCATTTAATGAATAGTTCCCCATTTAGTGATAGTCACGAACACCATTAACAGATTATTTTGTTGAACGTCGTTTATAAGGAAGTTCATATTGAACAAAAGTAACATAACAAATCATTACATCAGATATACAAATTAAATTAAAACTGAAGAACTGATTGAAGAAAATGGATATGAATTTCGAATAATTGCTTGTAATCAAGTTGATCAATCAGTACCAAAAGCTCTATCACGAACTATTTTTGCTAAAAATTCATTTCAGATGTCGTATGGTTTTTCAAAAAAACCTCCCGCGTGCACCTATTCATTTAACTATAAACGCAATTGATAATGAAGAGATTGAGTTAAATTAGCAATCACTAATT